AAAAAAAAAAAAAAAAAAAAAAAAAAAAAAAAAAAAAAAAAGAACGAAAGAAAACAAAAAACGAAAAGAAAAGAAAATATGAGAGTTCTGGAAGCACTGGGCCCACACTGTCATAGAACCAGTCTCCTGCTGGAGCCAAGTGAAATCATCCATCCTGTGGTCATATTGCCTCCACGGTCCCCACCACTCCCTATTACCTCACACCATCATTGACAGCAGCAGTATGTGCCTGCCTTGGGTTAAGAGTACACTTTGGAGCCGGGCCTGTTGGCTCACACCTGTAATCCCAGCCTTTTGGGAGGCTAAGGCGGGCGGATCACCCGAGGTCAGAAGTTCAAGACCAGCCTGGCCAACATGGTGAAACCCCATCTCTGCTAAAAATACACAGATTAGCGGGGCATGGTGGCATGTGCCTGTAATCCCAGCTACTTGGGAGGCTGAGGTAGGAGAATCACTTGAACCTGGGAGGCAGAGGTTATAGTGAGCTGAGATCACACCACTGCACTCCAGCCTGGGCAACAGAGTAGGTCTCAGTCTCCGAAAAAAAAAAAAAAAAGAAAAAAAGACTATACATTGGGCCAGGCGCAGTGGCTCACGCCTGTAATCCCAGCACTTTGGGAGGCCGAGGTGGAATCACCTGAGGTCAGGAGTTTAAGACCAGCCTGACCAACATGGAGAAACTCTGTCTCTACTAAAAATACAAAATTAGTCGGGCGTGTTGGCACATGCCTGTAATCCCAGCTACTCGGGAGGCTGAGGCAGGAGAATTGCTTGAACCTGGGAGGCAGAGGCTGCGGTGAGCTGAGATCGCGCCACTGCACTCCAGCCTGCGCAACAAGAGCGAAACTCCCATCTCAAAAAAAAAAAGAAAAGAAAAAAAATTGTGATAAGAACAGGAAGGTTTAGAGACTAGCACAAGGGGACTGCTCCAAACTAGGTTATGCAGGAAGAGTGTCCAGAAAAAGATGGTTGAGTAGAGGAGGGGAGATGATTAGGAGTTGGTGGGTAAAATGGGAAGGGGCTGAATCCCCCAAGTGAGAAGGAACAGCCGGCTTGACAACTGAGGCCGAGGCTGGGAATAAACCTAGGACTCCACAGTATACCAGAACCCATGAGTTCTTTACAATGACATGAAACAAGAAATCCTGGGTGCTGGAACGCACGGCTTGTACTTGTTCCCCTGGGTCATCTGTAGAGCTGTCTTCCTGAGGAAGGCTCTGATTCGCAGATTTACTCCTGAGGAGCAGAACTTTATGCTACATAGGAAATAATCAAGGGTCTGCTGGGCACCCTCGCTGTGGCTTAAATTGTGCTGAGCTCTGTGGAGTGACAAAGAAGTTCTACAAGCTGTAGCCAGAGGCAGTGGCTCATGCCTGTAATCCCAGCACTTTGGGAGGCCAAGGTGGGCAGATCATCTGAGGTCAGGAGTTCAAGACCAGCCTGGCCAACATGGCGAAACACTGTCTCCACTAAAAATACTAAAAAAAAAAAAAAAAAAAAAAGAAAATTAGCCAAGTGTGGTGTTGCATGCCTGTAATCTCAGCTACTCAGGAGGCTGAGGCAGGAGAGACGCTTGAATCCAGGAGTTGCGGCTACAGTGAGCTCAGATGATGCCATTGCACTACAACCTGGGCAACAGAGCAAGATTCCGTCTCTAAAAAAAATAAATAAATTCTGCTGAGTAGTCTAGGGGAAAAGAAAAGAACACATGTGGTATAGACCCTAGCTGCCCAATGAATCCTTCTGTAAAATGATGTCTGATCCGGCCCTTATCAACCCAGCAAACCCAACTTCCTCCATTCCCACCTGCCCTGCCAGCGTCCTCTCTGCTCCTCCATATGACACACTTGAGCAAACTCTTCCCTTTGTCCTGACATCTGCCTGGACCACTTTTCCACAATCCTTTTCCTGCCTACGACTTTGTCCTCCACTCCTGCTCCTTGCCAAAATGGCATACAGTATATACTCAGTATGTTGTTGAATGGATGGATGAATGGGTGGGAGGGTGGATGGGTGGGTGGGTAGATGGATGG